TGGAATGATGTTATGCAACGATATATCCAAGATCACTCGGGTCCACGATGGTGGGCCCACAGTAAGCCCGGAGCGAAGCCGAAGAGGATGAGGCAACAACGAAAGCTCTCCCAGACACGTCTATTTTCGGCCTGGTGGTCGCCGAACCATCACAAGAACGCACGATGACATGCTGTGCTCGAGAATCTCCTGGGGCAGGCTGCTGTGAAAGCTGGTCCCCGCGTTGGCTTGCCAGAGGTCATCCACCAGGCCCCCCGTCTGCCGCCGCCGGCGCCCGCTGCTCGAGGCGGGGCAAACGTGGAAGAGCAACACGATATATGTGCTCCGCTGGTTGGAAGCGACACTGGTCCAATTCAAGCAAAACTGGTTGTTGGCGACGTTCCGCGGCACAAGCCAAAGTAGCAATGGAGTTCACGAGGAGGAGGTACTCCAAAACGTAGTTCGCCTCCTCTAAAGACGGCGTCGTGCTGATTCCCAAACCGTGTGGGATCAGTCCGCACCGCGCCAAGCAAGGGGGAAGACCGTCAGGATAGTTATTCCAGGGCGCGCGCGCATCAAGCACACCGCGTGCAGTCGCATTGGCATGCTCATTTTGGTCTTGAAGTCGAGTGGGATGTATACGAAGTCGAAAAGCCCCATTACATCCCTCACTGTTCAACATGTTAACCAAACCCTTACGTGTGAAGCCGCATGGCAAATTTCGCAGCATCACAGTGGTAGCTTTCTGAGTGGTGATCTCTGCCTGGCTCTGGATGTCAGCGACTCTAGCACCGTTGGATCCTTGGGCCTGCATGGGCAGGCATTCCTCCTGCGAACAGCGTGGGACGAACGCCGGATACTTGCTGCTGAGCGGACTGAACGGGACGAACGTGGTGTGCTGGGTTAGGCTGTGGAAGATAGAACAGAACGCCGAAGCCCTGCTACTCAGCCGCGTGCAGGAGCTTTCAGTTGTCTTCGATTGGCGGGATCGAGGCAGCAATCATGAACTGTTTGCCCTATAGGCGCCGTCGCGACTGCAGCTGGTCCAGCATCCCAGCCGTCATCATCATCAGTGTCGTCGGGGTCACTCATTGCATGCTTGGGCTGGATCCGCGTGCGACGGGGGCGGCGCACAGCTGAACACCGCAGCTGCGACAGCGGGCAAAGAAAGAAGAACACACAGCGGAAATCACGTGATATCCAGCACGCACGTGCTATCCTATATTGGTTACATATATGTTGCAACTATGAGATGGCACGATATAATATACTTTACGATGCTATAACAGATGATGGAAACCTATCATATACTGTGATGTAATATGATATGCGATAGTCGAATCGTGTATTTCTATAGCTGCACTATGATAGCGTGTGCTTGCACATGGTATAACATGGTGCAACATATTATGATAGAGTACATACGTTGGTATACACGTCATACAATGTATGTATAACATATGGATATGTAGGAGTGTATTTCGTGATGTTGGTTCCATGCGCATATGATGATGATATGGATGAGAAATGTAATCACGATGATATAGCATGCTGTTCCTCAATGCTGGCCTCGTTCCTCCACTTCCGTGTTCTTCCTCAATGTCGTGTTGTTTTTAGGTTGTTCCGACAATTTGGTCTTGTTTCCGCTGTTCTTGTTTTTTGCCTGACAAAATGTATTCCGCAACATTTCTACGGAATGCACCCTCTGGGTAGTGAAGGACACGCGGGCTGGTAGGAGCGAACAGTCTTGGAGTGAGTGTTGTTATTGTTATTGTTGTTGTTGGGGTGCTACATCTTTCCGCATCTGCGGGGAGGTATATATTTCACTTCCGCCAGTTTCGGCCCGAGGAAGCGGTGTCGATCTCTCGACCGCCCTCGAAAGGCGGGCCCCGTTGTCCAGAAGGCGCCACACCCAGGCCCACAACGGCGGCCTTCATGAAGAGGTCTAGACCCCTCCTCCGGGACCGGCTTCTCGTCCCCAGTCGTTTTTTTTGGCGGCGCGCACAAGAGGGGGGAGGGCTTCTTACGAGGAGGCTGCTTCTTAGAAGGCGCCGGCCTTACATCTATAGATAAGGCCCGCGCCTTCTAAGAAGCAGGGACGCTTCTGAGAAGCCCTCCCCCCTCCCCCATACCCCCCCCGCCGCTTGCTCGTGGCTGAGTTTTGTTGACGGCCCCGGGGCCCCCGCAAAAGACCTCCCGCCGTGCCTATGTTTCACAGCGCGAGGGGCTCTGGGTCGTCAGGCGGGCCACTTCCCCAGAACGCGCCACAGAGAGACAATAGCTCCCGGGCCTCGGAGGCGGTGCGGGGGCGCACGCGCGCGCGGACCTCCCCGTGAGCGGGGGGGGCGCCCCCAGGCTGCAGGGCGGCGGGCTCGACGCCCCCAGGCGGGCGGCCGAGGGGACCAAGGAGGAGCCCCCGCCCCCACACCACTCCGAACGCGCTGGGAGGGCAGGAGAAGGGAGGGAGGGAGGGAGGAACAAGAGGGAAAAAGGGAGCGAGGGAGGAGGAGAGAGGAGGGAGGGAGGGGGAGGAGGGAGGGAGTGAGGGAGGGAGGGAGGAAGGACCTGACTATTGACTGTGACCCCTTGGGCTCGGTTCCCGCCCTTAGTCAGCCCCCCCCCCCCTCATCCAGCACTTCCGGCCTCTACTCCGCTGCGGGCCTCTGCAGCCAGAGAAGCCCTGCGGGCATCGCCGAGAGACACTGCCTTGAGGGAGCCCGGGTGTCTGGGAGGCTGTCGAGCTGAGGAGGTGCCCAAATCGGAGGCAGGAGGGAAGTGTGAGCATGAACGAAGCGGGTCCTGTGAGACGCGTGTCCCGGATCCCAGGGCCTCGGGCACCGAGGAGTCGCCTTTCATCCTCAGTCGTTTAAGGCCGATGGGGCCTGTGGGGGGCCCTGGGAGGCCCAACACGGCGAACATCCTCGGGACCCACTTCCCTCAGGAACCCTTTCCTTCATGGCGAGAAGAGGCATGGAGGGCATGGATGTGGAAATGGGCGAGGCCGGCAATCAACAGCTGGCGGGGCGGACGGGCCTACTCGGCCCTCGCTGCCCTTCTCGGTATCGGAGGGCGGGGATGGGAGGGGAGGGGATGAGGGAGGTGGGCGGGAGGGAGGGGAGGGGGGGGGGGGGGGGGGGGGGGCGGAGGTAGGGGGGGAAGAGGAGGGGGGGAGGGGAGGGACCCAGACCCCCGACGTCGTGTTTTTTTGTTTATATATATATATATATATATATAACAACGTCGACCCCCAAAGGTCTGGACCCCTTCCCCGGGACCAGCTTCTCATCCTGAGTCGTCCTTTGGCGGCCCCAGGGCCCGGCAAAGGCCCCCAGAGGCCGAACATTGCGCAAAACCTCCAGTCGTGATTTGTTTCACGACGAGCGGGGGTCTGGGAAGGGAGGAGAAGGGGGGAGGGGAGGGGCGGGAGGGGAGGGAGGGAGGGGAGGGGAGGGTGGCTGGCGCGGCCTGCGGCGGCCGCGGTGGGGGGCCTCGCGGGGCCAACACCACCCACCGGGCGCCCTGGCTGCCGGACGGGCCCCCGGGGGTGGGGCCGCGCGCAGGGCTGCGGGGCGCGGCGGCGCGCTGGCGGCGAGGGCGTCCCAGCAGAGCCAGGGAGGCAAGGCGTGGGGCGTCTGGTTCCTCTTCCAAGACCCCCGCGCGATGTGAAAAACACGACGGGAGGTCTTTCGCTATTTGCGGCCTCCGGGAGCCCTTACTGGGGCCCTGGGCCGTCAACAAACGACTCAGGATGAGAGACGGGTCCCGGGGAAGGGGTCCAGACCTTTGGGGGACGTTGCGAACAAAAACACGACGTCCAGAGTCTGGGTTCTCCCCAAGTCCGCCCCCAAGACTCGGGGCTTCAGCCATGGCATCGAGGGCGACGCGGAAGTTCCAGAGCAAGGGCCAAGCTCGCCGCATGCCCTGAAGTCATGTACTGCTTCGGGACGAGGGACGGTACAGTAAGGGCCAGTCCACAAGAAACGTTCCACAAGAAACCCAACCCTGAGACCCCAGGACATCCATTGACTTTTGGTGTGGGAACGTCTCGCTTTCCATTGCGAAACAATCGACACCCAAGAAGCCCGGGGCACCCTGGAGGCAAGCAGGATGTTTCTTGGCATTGGCCTCCACGGTATTCCCTTCCCCCTCGTGCTTCCCTTCTCCTGTGCCAGGCGGTGGCGCGGCCTGCCCGCGGCGACGGGGGGACACACCTGGGCTGCACGGGCCTGGCTGCTTGAAAAACGAGGTGGATCCCAGAGACCTCCTCTTATCTCATCATCCTCCTCTTGCCCCTCGTCGTCATCAGCATCATCACCATCACCATCACCAGCACCATCGCCATCATCACTATTATCAACATCATGATCTCGTTCTGCTTCATCATCACCAGCATCAGCATAACCATCATCATAACCATCACATCATAACCATCATCCTCATCATCATCATCACCAGCATCAACATCATCCTCATCATCCTCATCATCATCATCGTCATCATCGTCGTCGGAATCATCATAATCAGCATCACCATCCTCATACTCACCCTCATCCTCCTCCTCTTCTTCATCATCATCATGAGCATCACCATCATCAACATCATCATCATCATCAGCAGCATCAGCATCAGCATCAGCATCAGCATCAGCATCATCATTATCAGGACCATCGCTATCGGCCTCGCCATCACTATCACCATCACCACCATCATCATCATCATCGTGGGCGTAGCCGCCGCGGGCGTCCGCTCGCCCCGCTGCGGGCCTCACTGGGGGACCCTCACGAGGCCCCCTGCGGCTCAAGGATGGCCGCCGAAGGACGGGGTCGACAGCTCCCGCCGTGATCTTCCACGACGCGATGTTCTTGGTAGCGGGGCGTCGGCACGGGGAGAGAGTCGCGGCAAGCGCAGGGCCCTCATCTCCCCAAAAGAAAAAATGCATCATGCCGCCACTCTGCATCTCGCACGTCTGCGCCTCTTGCCCGACCCTCCTCTCTCGGATCCCAGCTCCGAGATGCTACCTTAGGCATGCAACGTTAAGGCAGACGACCCACTGGTCTGACATCACAAGGGTCTTGCGCTGCGGCAAAGTGCCAGCACAGGAGCTATACCCCAACATGGCGAACTGCACTGGGCGCGTTGCAAGAAAGCATGCAAAGCCGACCGAGCCTCTGCACGAAATGTGAATGCAAATCGCAAGCGGGAAATCCTTGGGCGTCACTGTCTTCATCATGTACTTTCCGTCAGCGGTGTAGTAGAAGAATGCACCGCTCTTCCCCTGAGGGCTACCAAATGACACTCACACGCGCACGCACACACCTCTCACAACATCACCTTCTGCCTAGGGAAATCACAGTCGTCCCAACTAGACCGGCGAATCACATGTGAACGTCACCCTCCCCGCGTGTCCCCCTGCTGAAATCTAGCCCAGTATGAAAACCGTGAACAGTAACGCCTGTCAACGTGCCTCGCAAAATCAGAGAAACCTAAACATCATGTCACGCTGTCGCCCCTACTTATCGCAGAAGGGTTCACGCGATATCGCGTCAGTTCGTGTAGCGATACGGACAGCAAAGCCCTGAAACGCACATGCCATCAGTTGCCCATCTTTGTCGAAGGGCTCGCGTATGGCAATGGTGGTCTGCGCACCACCTGGAAACAAGTCTACGCACACGGGGTGGCACAATAGGAATTGTTTGCTGTAGGTGCCACTCCGTTCGATCCAAACAAATATCTGAAACCTGTGCTGAGCCTCAAACGCAAACGGCATTGTACTTCACCGCTGCCCTTGGACCGAGAATGCCAGAAACTCCGCTCAACAAACGTTTAGGTAACGACTTGAAGCCGTATATCGTATCACACGTGTGTGCCGTTGTCAACGTGGACACAAAGAAAATGCCATGATATGGTGGTGCGAACGGTGGCGACCGTGAATCCCCGACCAGCTCAGACAGATACTTGAGATCTGCCTGAGAGCTGAGCCGCAAAATAACATCATAGGATGACGCATGCAACATACACCATCAGATCAGATTCCCCAGAAGCCAGACACAACATCCACAAATAACGCAAGGATGGCACAACACATCTTCGAAGAGAGGGCACTCAATGGGGCGTTGTGGGAAACCATGCTGCATGCAGCCTACCTGCAAACCTGTGGCCCCCCTTCAAAGGCACCCCCTTGTCTCACTCCTTTCCCCCCTCCCTCTCCAGACTCCCCCTCCACTTCTCCCCTCCTTTCATCTCTTTCTCTTTCCCTCGTTTCACTCCCTCTCTCTTTCCCTCTCGCCCCCCCCCGGCTCCCCCGTCCCTCCCCTTCTGCGCACGAGCGAGCCTGCCCTCACCCTGCGTGGACAATCGCCGAGTCGACAATCCGCTGCGGGAGGGCACCTACCTACCTACCTACCTACCTACCGACCGACCTACCTACCTAACTACCTCCCCCCTCTCTCCCTCGCCTCCAAGCCTCTCTCCCTCCCTCCTCCCCTCGACCTCTCCCTCGCCTCGACCCCTCGACCTACCCTCCCTCCCTCCTCCCTCTCTCCCTCCCTCCTCCCCTCGCCCGCCCCCCCCCCCCTTTGACCTCGCCCTCGCCGCCCAACCTCCTGTCCTCCCTCCTCCTCCTCATTTTTCTCCTCCTCGCCACCGCGTCTCTCGCCCCCCCTTCTCAGGATAAGCCGCCCACCTTCCCTCAGGGCCTCCTGTTGAGTCACCCACACATCGCGGCCCAGACGAGTGCAGGAGAAGGACAAATACACTCATCCAGGATAGTACGGATGCGCGGTAAGGATGCAAGGGCCTTGGATCGCCATGTTGACGTTTTCCGTGCGGAGCGCAGCAGACTGCCGCAGGATGCCGAATACCGAAGGGGCAAGGATGCAAGGGTAGCCTTGGCACGTTGCCCCATCCTTACTAACATGGTTGACTGTACGAGGCACAGACAACTGCCGCACGCCACTCGGATTCCCTATCGGGTCCCCCCCTCTGCTCAACATGAGCTGCCCCCCTTCGCCAGGGCCCCCCGTCAGTTCGCCCCTTCTGTGCGGCCCAGGCGGGTGCAGGAAAAGTACACGCACACGACAGGAGACTGCCGCACGCAGGTTGGGATCTCTCCAGGATTTGTTTCCCGCTTGCTCCAGATGAGCCGCCCCCCTTCCCCAGGGCCCCCGTCAACTCACCCGCCCCAGGCGGCCCAGACGAAGGCAGGAGAAGGACAAGCACGAGGCAAGACACTGCCGCACACCACTGGGGATCTCTGGGATCCCCCCCTTGCTTCAAATGAGCCTCACCCCTTCCCCAGGGCCCCCAGGAATCGAATAGAGAAGTCGGACCGGCAATAGAAATACACCCGATCGGAGGAAATCGGCAGCCGAGTCGGGAAAAATCGAATCGGCGGAACAATCGGCAGGCAGGTAGGCCTCCATGGAGAACTCGGAGCCCAAATCGGCATCCGAAGTCGCATCGAATCGGCAGACTCGAATCCCATCGAACCCGAGGAATCGGCTCGAATCGGATCGGATCGGAATCGGAAGGCATCGAATTCGAATCGAACCGAAGCGGGGGAATCGACGTGAGCCACCCAAACTATGCTTAGGCCGGGCATGTCCCCCTACAGGCGGATTCTGGGCAAAAGATAGAAATCGCCAAACACAGATTCAAACATAGCCAACAGATCGTCCCCAGACTATTTTTGGACTACGTTTGAATATTCCTCTGGAAGGACGGGCCCGACTTATCGCTACGCGGCCCAGGCGGGCGCAGGGAGAGGCACGAGCACACGCGACGGGAGACGGGTGCACACCGCTCGGGCTCGCTCTCTCTCTCTCTCTCTCTCTCTCCCGGCGCGGGAGCCGAAGAGCGCAGGGCCCGCAGGCGGCCATGTGCGCCCGCCGCGCCCGCTCCATGGGGTGCTCCGGGAGGCGTTCGAGAACCAAGGCCGCGCTGACGGCGACGTTGGTCAACGGCGATGTTGGGAACCCGATGTGTTTGTGGCACCGAGCTCGCGCGGAACAAAGTGCAGGCACTCACGGAGCATCGTTTCCTAGATTTTTCAGAATATGCGAATGCATCGAGCGAGAACGGCACAACGAGCTGTCGGAAAACACGAACTGCGCGCTCCTGCAGTCGGTTCGGCCACGGACCACGCCTTCCTACAATTGGTGTTCCTACACCGCCGTTAGCCAACACACCGTTAGCGCGACTACGGGAGAAGGAGTTGGAACTCGCAGGAACGATTCGGGCAAGGTCAGACATGAGTGCAAGTCTCGGGTATATCCAGGTGTTCATCCTCGCGCCTCTTGCATCTCCTCTTCAGGTGTCAGGATTCCCAGGCAACTGTTGCAACAGGGTCGGGTGGCAGTCACTCCTCCTCCGCCTCCTCCTCATCCTTCTCTTTCTCCCCCTCCTCCTCTTCCTCCTCCTCCTCCTCCTCCTCTTCCCTCTTCTCCTCTTCGCTCCTCGCTCCTCCTCCTCCTCCTCCTCCTCCACCACCTCCTCCTCATCCCTTTCCTCCTGCTCCTCCTGCTCCCTCCTCCTCTCCTCCTCCTCCTCCGACTCCTCCTCCTCCTCCTCCAACTCCAACTCCCTCCTCCTCCTCCTCCTCCTCCCTCCTCCTCCTCCTCCTCCTCTCTCCTCTCCCCTCGTCCTCCTGCTCCTACTCCATATCCTGCTCCTCCTCCTCCTCCTCCGACTCCCCTCCTCCTGCTCCTCCTCCTCTCCTCCTGCTCCTCCTCCTCCTCCTTCTCCTCCTTTTCCTCCTCCTCCTCCTCCTCCTTTTCCTTCTCCTCCTCCTCCTCCTCGTCCTCCTCCTCTCCGCCTCCCTTTTCCAATGAATCCCAGGGCCAATCCATTGGGCCCGTCTTCGAGAGAGAAACTCGGAGCGGAACCCGCCGTGTCGACGAGGGCTCCCGGGAGGCCCCCTACAGTGGGGCAAATGTCGACACACTTCGATATCCGAGATTCGATCTTCGGCCTCTCTCTCTCTCTCTCTCTTTCTATATAGCTGCCTCTCTGTCTCTGCCTCTCTCTCTCTCTCTCTCTCTCTCTCCCGCTCTCTATATAAATACGGATGCCTCTCTCTCTCTTTCTTTCTTTCTCTCTCTCTCTCTCTCTACAATTATTCAATATGATAATACTCTCCCTCTTCCCCTAATGGCGTCCGGGTGATGGCCGCGCATTTTCCGCGTACTGTTTTTTAAACACAGGATGCCCGGGAAATCCCGGGAAACGACTCTCGCTGAGGCGCCGGCGTCATTTTCGGGCCGAACGCCCCCCGCGTACTGTTCTTTTACACGCAGGATTCCCGGGAAAAGGGTTATCGCCTGCGTTTTTTTGTATAGAAAAAATAGCCTGGCGAAGGACCCAACCATATGCAGCTGCGAGTACCGCGCGGATATGAGACGAAGGAGGGGGCACGCAAACTAGGCCCCTCTTCTCATAGGCACCGCGCCGCTGCATGGACGAGGCACGAGGCAGCGCGGGAAGGAGGTGGCGGGCGGAGGAGGAGAGCTCACTGGGGCGAGCCAACACATCAGTATCATCATCGCATCATGAGACCTGTTACTGGGCACGCAGGAAGAGGTAACGGAGACACCGTGTAGATGTCGAAGGCAGGTCAGCAGCGGCAGAAACGAGACGGGGAAGCGCGCGGTCAAGAAGCGATGGGAAGCAGGAGGAGCGAGAGACGAGGGGAGACGTTTTTGCCTCCAGACCGACAGCGAGCCGCGCATAATGCAGCGCGCAGGCGGCGCCGCGCGAAAGTGCCTGGGAAGTCCTCGCCGACGCGGTCTGGTCATCCCGAGGGAACCCCATCGACGCGCGGGGGTTGTCCACTGCGACTCTGAGTCAACGGATAGCGCCCCCGTACTGCGTGGCGAGGCGTGCGAAAATGGCGCGATCTGGGCGAAATCCCCCGACAGGCGCCGGTCATCCTCTGGCGAGAAATCCCGACGACGAGCTGGGGTCATCCAAGCGTCAGCGACACCAGCGCGCGCCGCTGGCTCGTGCGGGGCCGCTCCCCAGGTCAGGCCTCGCGGATGAACTCGCTGAAGCCCAGCTCTCTGGCGAGGGCCGTCGCCTCCCTCTCCCTCCTGCGCCGCTTCGTGCGTGCAGCAAACTGCCCCAGCTGCTTCCGCAAGCTCTCCGGCGGCCCTGCCAGGAAGAACTCGATGAGCGGCGCCCGCATGAGCAGGAGATCCTCGTGGCGCGTGGCGCGCGAGAGCAGCGCGTAGAGCTCCAGCCACCAGTCGTCGTCCTCCTTCTTGCCGTTCCCGACCTCGT